CCCTTCTATTTATTTTGTAAACAAAAAAAAAAAAAAAAAAAAAAAAAAAAAAAACGCACACCCCCCCCCCCCCCCCCCCTCCCCCTCATCAAGGTTCTTGATATTTGTCTTTGTACAGAGCTCACTAACCATGAATACTGTGACAGCAGCCTTTATTTCATCTATTAAAAAATGAAGGCAGTAACGATGATACTAAAACAGCCAGTCATTATCCTTGCTCTTCATCCACAACTCTGAGGAGAGACAATGAAGAGCATGCTTCTCATGAGAATGCATATGATTGGCTCCAAACAACTGACACATTTTGCTTTGAAATCACCCAGTTGATTTCAACTTGTTAGGTAACACACCAAAGAGAAAGGAAAAATTTAAATCGCATCATATGACCCCTTTAACTCGATTTTTGCAGTCAAAAAAATTAATGGCTCAGATACAGTTATTGATAGACCATAGCACTGACAGTTATTAAATTGAACTGAATTGAATTGAACATTGAATTAAATTGAGCTGAATAAAGACCCTATTTTCTTTTATACAGCTAAAATTAAATTTTTCATAATTTATGAATTTTACAACATTAACACTTATTGTCCTGCTTATTAATGTGAAGCTGCTTTGAAACAATCCGTATAATATAAAGCACTATATAAACGTGACTTGACTTTATCCATTGATTGTGGACATCTCAGGTACTATCACTACATTGTATCTCAACTACTATTCAGTGTAATCTTTAACGAAAACTAAAACTAAATAAAAAAAATTACACTGAAAATACAAAACATAACTGGAAAAAACAAGCTAAACAAATTCATTATGACACCAAAACTTAATCACCTGATCATGTGAACATACTTTTGTTGTATATTTTGAATTTCATTGCAATAGGGGAAACCTCTAGGTGAAATAATTCTGGCAAGTGAACCTCATCTGCATTTGATTGTGTGGTAAACACATAGTTACTTCACAAATATGACAATCCTGTTGTCATTTTAAAGTCACTGAAAGTCAAGGAGGACACAAAAATCAACTTCAGAATAGAAACAGCCAAGATATTCCAGCAGGTGGGCTAATGAGGGGTGCCCTGTGGGAAGCTCATGTATCTTATTTAAATGCTCTTATGTATTTGTTTATATGTGTATGTAGAGTGAGAGTCTCATTTCAC